AAAATCGAAAAACCGAAAAATCCGAAAAATCGAAAAAATTAAAAAATCGAAAAACCGAAATAATTTGAAAAATCGAAAAATCAAAAAACCGAAAAATCTGAAAAATCGAAAAAATGAAAAAATAAAAAAAAAATGAAAAATCAAAAAACCGAAAAATTGAAAAAATTAAAAAATCGAAAAATTGAAAAACAGAAAAATCGAAATAATTCGAAAAATAAAAAAATCAAAAAACCGAAAAATCCAAAAAATAAAAAAATCGAAAAACCGAAAAATCGAAAAATCTAAAAAATTAAAAAATCTTAAAACCGAATAAACAAAAAAATCGAAAAATAAAAAAAATCCGAAAAATCGAAAAAATTAAAAAATCGAAAAACCGAAATAATTTGAAAAATCGAAAAATCAAAAAACCGAAAAATCTGAAAAATCGAAAAAATGAAAAAATAAAAAAAAATGAAAAATCAAAAAACCGAAAAATTGAAAAAATTAAAAAATTGAAAAATTGAAAAACAGAAAAATCGAAATAATTCGAAAAATAAAAAAATCAAAAAACCGAAAAATCCAAAAAATAAAAAAATCGAAAAACCGAAAAATCGAAAAAATTAAAAAATCTTAAAACCGAATAAACAAAAAAATCGAAAAATAAAAAAAAACCGAAAAATCGAAAAAATTAAAAAATCGAAAAACCGAAATAATTTGAAAAATCGAAAAATCAAAAAACCGAAAAATCTGAAAAATCGAAAAAATGAAAAAATAAAAAAAAAAAAATGAAAAATCAAAAAACCGAAAAATTGAAAAAATTAAAAAATCGAAAAATTGAAAAACAGAAAAATCGAAATAATTCGAAAAATAAAAAAATCAAAAAACCGAAAAATCCAAAAAATAAAAAAATCGAAAAACCGAAAAATCGAAAAATCTAAAAAATTAAAAAATCTTAAAACCGAATAAACAAAAAAATCGAAAAATAAAAAAAAACCGAAAAATCGAAAAACCGAAAAATCAAAAAACCGAAAAATCAAAAAACCGAAAAATCAAAAAACCGAAAAATAAAAAAACTGAAAAATCCAAAAATCGAAAAAATCGAAAATTCAAAAAACCGAAAAATCGAAAAAATTAAAAAATCGTAAAATCGAAAAAACAAAAAATTGCAAAAATCTGAAAAAATCGAAAAATAAAAAAAAAAACGAAAAATTAAAAAATCGAAAAAAAATCGAAAAACCGAAATAATTCGAAAAATCGAAAGACCGAAAAATCAAAAAACCGAAAAATCCAAAAATCGAAAAAATAAAAAAATCGAAAATTCAAAAAACCGAAAAATCGAAAAAATTAAAAAATCGAAAAAATTAAAAAATCGAAAAATCCGAAAATTTGAAAAATCAAAAAACCGAAAAATCTGAAAAATCGAAAAAATAAAAAATCAAAAAAAAATGAAAAATCAAAAAACCGAAAAATTGAAAAAATAAAAAAATTGAAAAACAGAAAAATCGAAAAACCGAAATAATTCGAAAAATCAAAAAACCGAAAAACTAAAAAAATAAAAAAATCAAAAAACCGAAAAATCGAAAAAACAAAAAACCGAAAGATCGAAAAATTTTAAAATCGAAAAATCCGAAAACTCGAAAAAATTAAAAAATCGAAAATATCGAAAAAGAAATTCCGTAACGAAAATAAACCTAACACCCCCAACTCCGACCGGCATAGCGGTGCGGCGTTGAAAGCCGTGCACCGTCTAACGTCGTTTCAGTTCGGCAGACTTCGGCACGGTGTTTGTGTGCGTACGACTAGACGTATGCGTGTAGACTAGCTGCTAACTGATTCTATCTCTTTTAGACACAATTTCGGAAAAATTGAATTTGAAAATGAATAATGATCCACAAGAATCCACAACAAAATATGGGACCATCATTGACGCGGTATTTTCCAGATATTTAGAGGATATCAAGTCTCAAACTTATGTTTTTTTATTTCAGTTACAATAAACCTATATTTTCAATAATAAAATAAAAGAAAAAAAATTGTTTTCTTATCGGTCACCACGCTCAAAAGTGTAACTTGAATTAATATCAAAGAAAAAAAAAATACGGCATAAATAAAATAAATAATTATAATTGCATAAGTTGATAAAAAACTTGCCTCTTAAACCTATCAATCCACCTGTGACTCCTCCTGCATACGTCCCGTTTTTCCAATCTGACTTTCCTCTAGACTAAAAATAAATAAAAATATCGAAAATATAATTTAAACAACAATCAAGCATCTTACAGATTCAATTACACATTCGACTCCAGAAAATAGAGCTCCTATTAACGCGAAATTTTTAGCATAACCTAGAGTGGTCGTTTTCATTTCTCTAAACACTTGTCTTGCTGTTTGGGGCTCTGTGGTATCGGTAACCGAAGCAGGTCCTATACTTGATGAGAAAAGACCTATAGCCGCTCCCAAACCATAACCTGAAAAGGAAATCTTATAAATTAAGAAAAAAAGAAAACAAAACTATTTAATGAGCATTCTTACCAACAACACAACTCATAAGAGACTTAAATGTACAACTTTCAAAGAACGATTCCACCATCTTTTCTTCATTGGTCTTTATTTGTACCGGACCGACACTTTTGGGTATAATTATGTTTTCTCTATAACGAAAATTGTTTCCTACGAAATATTTGATTAAATAGTCCCATTCCTGGGCCGTAAAAGACCTTTTTTCTTGCTGAGACTGTGACATTCTGATTTAACCTCACAAATTCAAATTTAATTTTTTTAACACTACATCACAATTTAACAATAATTATTTGAATAATATTGAACAATTTTAGTGTTTAGTTTAATAATTTATAGTAAATTAGTAAACACAATTGAAATTAGAACGAAAATATTTAGATATTAGGTTAGAAAGTGGTATTTGCAGGAACACATTCCGTCATTCCATATGCTATATAGCGCAGTTGCTAATACGGGAGTATGGGAGACTTTTAATTTCAATTTGAGCTGTGTCCAGCCGTTGGAGTCTATCCCGGTTAAGTAAGGGTTGATATTTCCTACAAGAAGCCGTTCTTTGGTCTTCTTGTTCTATATTCACGGGCTGATATGTGGATGGAATGTATTACTACAAATACCGCTTTGTTTGACAAGATCAATGATTTTATAGTTATATAGATTGATCATCCATACGTAATAAATCGATGAAAAGCGAGTTGAATTAGATGTTTTCTCTTTGTCTAGTATATGCAATGTGTGTGTTTTGTATCAATTGTGAGTGTTTACTGCTCACTGGTAAACAAACCTTTTATAAAACCGGTTTAGAAGAAAGTTTAGTCTAGTTGAGATTTTGTTGTCAATAGTCGTTTTCTTTTTACAACTAATCAAGGGGGGCTATTTTCAAAGTCGAGAGAATTCATTTCTCTCGAGAGAAATGTCATACGTCAACGTAAAACAGTATTTTTAGGGTCCTAAGGGCCAGTGTGAACTCACTGATTGTTTCTCACGGTTCATTTAGAGATAATTAATATCCTCATAAGAATTTTAATCCTCGAGGCCTTTAAAAACAGCGTTTCCACATTGACGTATGACATTTCTGATGAGAATCTTGAGAGAAATGAGTACTCACACGATTTGAAAATAGGTCCCCAGGGGGGCTATTTTCAAACTCGAGAGAATTCATTTCTCTCAAGAGAAATGTCATACGTCAACGTAAAACCGTATTTTTAGGGCTCTTAGGGCCAGTGTGAACTCACTGACTGTTTCTCTCGGTTTATTTAGAGAGAATTTAAATCTTCCTAAGAATTTTAATCCTCGATGCCTTTAAAAACATTTCCACATTGACGTATGACATTTCTGATGAGAATCTTGAGAGAAATGAGTGCTCCCATACTTTGAAAATAGCCCCCCTGAGCTAACTTACATCGACTAAGCTGAGATGTACGTTCTTTTTATGATTGTAAGTCAGACTCTTTCTTCCCCCCTTACCGATGCTAAGGTGCACGGTACTTGACGTCAACCATAAACCATCACAGAAAGTGAGTGTTCTGTGCATCATATGAACAAACATATCCCATGAATTCATTATTTTAGAGAGAATAAAAGACTATGATAACAGGGGGTGAGATTTGTAGTGTTGAATGTTGAAAAAATTATAAAATTTGATTAAAATATGGATTGTTTTTAAATGGATGACATGGGGCACGTCACCTGTCAACCAAAATTCGCGTTCTTTTTACAGTTAAGCTTAGATCAGAATCTAACTTTTAGTTAGTCAAGTATGCTTGTAAAAAGAAAACGACTATTATTTTTGAAGTCACAGTTTATTGCTAAAGAATCAGTTAGCTCACTCGGACCAGTTGAAAGTTCCAAAATAACATCCACTCCAGGGATACAAATTCAGGATACGCAGAAGACTGCTGTTTTATTATAGGCGGTTGTCATATATTGTATTATCCGAGTTGCACAGTGTATAAACTGAAACTTTGAGATCAAAAGTGCCGACGCAGAGTGAGCGATCTGATTCTTTAGCTGTAAACTGTGTCACAGGGTTCAAAATAGCCGCGCCCTATGTTGGGCGTATCGGACCTCTCTCTTGCCTCGTAATAGTAATCATATGCTGCGTTTGAGAATCCACATCGGATGCATTTTTTACATTTTGAGCGTTTTTTTATCCACATCGGACACATCTGTCCCATTACATTTACATATACTGAATCACGTGATCAAAGATTTTTTACATCTCAGATGCATCCGATGTGGATTCTCAAACGCGGCAAAAGTATGTGGCGCATATATTAGGTCTTTTCCTTTGCATCGAAAGTGTAGCACTGAACTACACCACTTCTGAAAATATCGTTCCATTTATACAAATTGTATGGATAGAACGATATTCTCAGAAGTGACGTAGCTCAGTGCTACACTTTCGATGCAAAGGAAAAGACCTATTATGGATAATAAGCAGTCTATATGAATGAGCAGTCTATATATCGATGACCAGTCTATATAACATTTATAGCATTGGTTGTTCTATGTCAACTGTCAAAATGTCGAGCATGTCGTTTGATTAGTAGATATCAGATGTCAGCACTGTTTGTATTTTTCATAATTTAATTTAATTAAAATCATTTTCACCGTTAGTTATGACCTATACAGAAGAATACATAAAGAATAAACTCGCAAAAGAACTCGAAGCTACTCATGTGGTAAGTCCTATTTTTTTAAATTTCAAATTTAATTTTAAATTTCTGTCAAATTTGGGACATAACCTCATTATTGATTTTTCACCGAACTGGTGCATGGTGCCACATCACACGAAAATGAGGATATTTATCAGTAAATCAATCAAAATTTCACATTGTTAAGATGCCCAAATTAAAATCTATCAATTAAAAATAATAATATTGATCAAACGTCATAATGTACTGTAGAATTACTTCAGAGACGTGGTTAGTGGTTTTTGGAGCTTTCCTTGCTATTTTACTGCGAGCATGTACTAATTTGCATTCCTATTCGGGGGAAGCAAAGCCTCCGATGTATGGAGATTATGAAGCGCAGCGACATTGGATGGAAATCACTACAAACTTACCTATAAATGAATGGTACCAAAACAGTACAAATAACGATTTAAACTATTGGGGTTTAGATTACCCTCCTTTAACAGCATATCATATGTACATCTGTGGAAAAGTAGCTGAATATTTAAACGAAAATTACACAAAATTGCATGAATCCAGAGGATATGAAAGCGAGGACCACAAGGTGTTTATGAGGTTCACAGTAATGATTGGGGACGTACTATTTTATATTCCGGCTCTTATACTGTATTATCATACTTGTATTAAAACGATAGAGACTCAAGATGGTGGTGTGAAGAAAAAGAAGTTTAAAAACCAAAAAAAGTTAACAGAAATCAAACCAATGAGTACATCATTATCGACTGTCATTGGTTTGTTATATCCCGGTATAATACTAATAGATCACGGTCATTTTCAGTATAATTGTATTTCTTTAGGTTTTACTATTACAGCAATTACTTTGATATTGAAAAAATTTGATATTTTAGCTTCTATTTTTTACTGTTTAGCTTTGAATTACAAACAAATGGAGTTGTACCACGCATTACCGTTTTTTTTGTATCTTTTAAGTACCTGCGTGCCTAAACCTGGTCAAAAAACAGTATGGGGTATCTTTAGACTGTTTAAAATAGGTATAGCAGTAATTATAACTTTTATTATTATCTGGTATCCGTTTTTATACGATTTAGGAGAGTTATTACAAGTTTTGAATAGACAGTTTCCTTTAGGAAGAGGTGTATTTGAAGATAAGGTGTCGAATGTTTGGTGTGCCTTGAATGTTGTGTTTAAATTTAAAACAAAGTTTGATAACTATCAAATGATGAGAATATGCTTGTTTACTACTGTAGCTTCGCTCCTACCAAGTTCTGTTGATCTATTTTTAAGACCTAATAGAAAAAAGTTTGTTCTAGCTCAAATAAATTCTTCTTTATCATTTTTTTTGTTTAGTTTCCAAGTACATGAGAAGAGTATTCTTCTTGTTGCTATACCGGTTTTATTATACTTTCCTTATGATTCATTTACTTGCTATTGGTTTCTCTGTATGTCAGTTTTCAGTATGACTCCTCTTTTAGTTAAAAATAATTTAACTATAGCTATTATAGCTCTTACTCTATTTTATTGTGTTACTTTTCGAGTCTCTATTGAGCATAATTATAGAAGTAGTTTGAATAATCATGATGGATTCAAAGAATATTATCGAAGTCTTGTACATTCTTTGCTAGATATAGAGTACAAGAAGGCGACTCAAATGGGTATATTTAAAGCATCTTTGCAACAAATTATTAAAAATTCTGATGCTTTAAGATCTTTAATATTCCATTGTTGTATGTTTTTATCGCTTATAGGTTGTTTGTTAATATTTTTTATGTCTCTGTTGCTCCAACCGCCGCCTAAATATCCGGATTTATACCCGCTTGTTATTTCTGTGTACTCGTGCGTCCATTTTGTAGGATTTTTTATTTATTTTAATTACAAACAACTAAGGATACCTCAACAGTTTGAAGATATTCGAATTGAAAAAATTAAGTTCTCCTAGGTTTATATTATGTTTCTTTAAGTTACAATTCATTTTTGACTGTTATAAATTGTTGATTTTCAATAAAGATTGTTTAAAATTACTTTGATTTTTAATACTTTTAAATAGGCTATCTTTAGAGGCACTTATGTGAGTAGAACTATGAAAATTACTACAATTAAAGATACGTTTTACATATTTAAACAGATTGCTTAAAAACTACCGCTAATTTTGAACGTTATTTATGGAAATTCAAAAGAAAATTAGCTAAAATGCTTATATAGTATTCTATAATTAAATTGATCCAGAAATAGCACAGAAAATATATCAAAACTAATATCATTTCATCAATAATTAGTTAAAATGCTTATATAGTATTCTATACTAAAATTGATCCAGAAATAGCACAGAAAATATTTCAAAACTATTATTATTTCATCAATAATCAGTTAAAATGCTTATATAGTATACTATACTGAAATTGATCCAGAAATAGCACAGAAAATATCTCAAAACTATTGTTATTTCATCAATAATTAGTTAAAATGCTTATATAGTATTCTATACTAAAATTGATCCAGAAATAGCACAGAAAATATCTCAAAATTAATATCATTTCATCAATAATTAGTTAAAATGCTTATATAGTATACTATACTGAAATTGATCCAGAAATAGCACAGAAAATATCTCAAAATTAATATAATTTCATCAATAATTAGTTAAAATGCTTAGATAGTATTCTATACTAAAATTGATCCAGAAATAGCACAGAAAATATCTCAAAACTAATATAATTTCATCAATAATTAGTTAAAATGCTTATATAGTATTTTATACTAAAATTGATCCAGAAATAGCACAGAAAATATCTCAAAACTAATATCATTTCATCAATAATTAGTTAAAATGCTTATATAGTATACTATACTGAAATTGATCCAGAAATAGCACAGAAAATATCTCAAAATTAATATAATTTCATCAATAATTAGTTAAAATGCTTATATAGTATTCTATACTAAAATTGATCCAGAAATAGCACAGAAAATATCTCAAAACTAATATAATTTCATCAATAATTAGTTAAAATGCTTATATAGTATTTTATACTAAAATTGATCCAGAAATAGCACAGAAAATATCTTAAAACTAATATCATTTCATCAATAATTAGTTAAAATGCTTAGATAGTATTCTATACTAAAATTGATCCAGAAATAGCACAGAAAATATCTCAAAACTAATATAATTTCATCAATAATTAGTTAAAATGCTTATATAGTATTTTATACTAAAATTGATCCAGAAATAGCACAGAAAATATCTCAAAACTAATATAATTTCATCAATAATTAGTTAAAATGCTTATATAGTATTTTATACTAAAATTGATCTAGAAATAGCACAGAAAATATCTTAAAACTAATATCATTTCATCAATAATTAGTTAAAATGCTTAGATAGTATTCTATACTAAAATTGATCCAGAAATAGCACAGAAAATATCTCAAAACTAATATAATTTCATCAATAATTAGTTAAAATGCTTATATAGTATATTATACTAAAATTGATCCATAAATAGCACAGAAAATATCTCAAAACTAATATAATTTCATCAATAATTAGCTAAAATGCTTAGATATTATTATATATTAAAATTGATCCAGAAATAGCACAGAAAATATCTCAAAATTAATATCATTTCATCAATAATTAGCTAAAATGCTTAAATAGTATTCTATACTAAAATTGATCCAGAAATAGCACAGAAAATATCTCCAAATTAATATCATTTCATCAATAATTATCTAAAATGCTTACATAGTATTCTATACTAAAATTGATCCAGAAATAGCACAAAAAATATCTCAAAACTAATATCATTTCATCAATAATTAGTTAAAATGCTTATATAGTATACTATACTGAAATTGATCCAGAAATAGCACAGAAAATATCTCAAAACTAATATCATTTCATCAATAATTAGTTAAAATACTTATATAGTATACTATACTAAAATTGATCCAAAAATATCACAGAAAATATCTCAAAACTAATATCATTTCATCAATAATTAGTTTTAATGCTTATATAGTATTATATACTAAAATTGATCCAGAAATAGCACAGAAAATATCTCAAAATTAATATCATTTCATCAATAATTAGTTAAAATGCTTATATAGTATACTATACTGAAATTGATCCAGAAATAGCACAGAAAATATCTCAAAACTAATATCATTTCATCAATAATTAGTTAAAATGCTTATATAGTATACTATACTAAAATTGATCCAAAAATATCACAGAAAATATCTCAAAACTAATATCATTTCATCAATAATTAGTTAAAATGCTTATATAGTATTATATACTAAAATTGATCCAGAAATAGCACAGAAAATATCTCAAAATTAATATAATTTCATCAATAATTAGCTAAAATGCTTATATAGTATACTATACTGAAATTGATCCAGAAATAGCACAGAAAATATCTCAAAACTAATATCATTTCATCAATAATTAGCTAAAATGCTTATATAGTATTCTATACTAAAATTGATCCAGAAATAGCACAGAAAATATCTCAAAATTAATATAATTTCATCAATAATTATCTAAAATGCTTATATAGTATTCTATACTAAAATTGATCCAGAAATAGCACAGAAAATATCTCAAAATTAATATCATTTCATCAATAATTAGTTAAAATGCTTATATAGTATTCTATACTAAAATTGATCCAGAAATAGCACAAAAAATATCTCAAAACTAATATCATTTCATCAATAATTAGTTAAAATGCTTATATAGTATTATATACTATAATTGATCCAGAAATAGCACAGAAAATATCTTAATACTAATATCATTTCATCAATAATTAGCTAAAATGCTTATATAGTATTATATACTAAAATTGATCCAGAAATAGCACAGAAAATATCTCAAAACTAATATCATTTCATCAATAATTACCTAATCATTTCATTAATAAAGTTATTTATTCATTAAATTAAAAATAGCATTGAAAAAATTAAATCTACAAAGACATGTGGAGAAGTCTCAATATCAGTGGAGATAACTACTCAAATAATTCAAAAATTAAGTTGCTAAATTATTTAAAAAACAAATGAAAATGTTCAGTATATCTCACTATATACACTAACGGTTTTGGGGTTTTAATTATTGAAGAAATACTCCAAATATGGACTGAAATCTTTGCTTTCCATTATCTCCAAAGCTATTTGAACATGTATGAACAATCATCACTCAAACTTCAAGATTCTCCACATTTGAATGATAACTACTACTCAGATAAAGTTATTTTACAAGTGAAATTTGGTGAGACTCTTTTTGACTGACTTTATACGCCTAATAACTATCTTATTTTTATTCAGGCAAATTCAAACTATATACTACAACAACGCGTAGAACTGTCAGTCATAAAATTCATGACTATCTACGATACGGGCGTGATATTCACAGTCATCGGTCAGTAGGTATTACATAATTAATATTCTGTATCTAGAGTTAGAATGAAATACGTGTAACATGCATAGGAGGCAAGTGTTTAGGAATTTTATTTTATTCTCAAGAGCTAGAATGTTTTCTTTTTGTTATTATAAATGGTTTAGGAAGAAATACATTCAGTAATGATTGTAGAAAAAAAAGTTTATTATTGTGAAAATACTAGAAAAGCATTTTTTGTTTAATTTAAGTTTTCCTTCTATGACCAATAATTTCCTGTATAGACCCAGATTAATTTATTTCATAATAATTACATTAATTTTTTTTTATAAAAAACTAATTAATCCATTTAAATTACTGTAATCCTATAATGAAATTGTTATTGACATTTCGTGTTTTTCTGCATAAATTTCATTTCGAAACTTAATGCAAATCTACCGGGTATTGTTATTCAAATACGACCGAGATTATTTTTAGAATCTTTTTCTTCTTTTTTTTTCAGGAAGTAACAGACCAGTCAGATGGGTGTGGAGGGAAGTTTGATTGTGTGATTGTTTCGGAAAAATTTAATGGAAAACCGCTGTTGGCGAGACATAGGTAATAAAATGTTTTAATATATGATTTTTTTAACAAAACGGTGTTATATTACAATGTTAAATTAATTATTTAGATTTGGAAAGTTTGGAGAAAGATAAACCGAGAATTTTTAATGAAATACAATTAATATTATTCTTCTTAAATATCTGGTAAATTTGATTTCTCGAATGGTACCTTGAAAAATTAACAAAAATCGACAATTCGCACTGTTTGAAGCTTTGACCTTTCAGATTGGGCAATTTTTTTAAAGATACTACTGTAATTATAAATATTTTTCGAGAATAATGCTTTGCTGATATCAAACAATATTTCCAGCATAACAAATGGCGTAAATTATTATTATTAACTTACAGGGTGAGTCATAAATTATTGGAAAACTAATTTTAATTTTTACTTTAGCATGAGAATATTCTCTAAATGAATATCGCACTGTAAATAAATAGTTTTCGATTAAATAGTCAAAATTAGGAACTATTACGTTCTATACAGGGTGAGTCAAAAAGTTGGTAGTAGATAGGCAAAGCTGACACGGCGTCGCATAGGGAATTCAGTGTATAAGAGTGAGAGGTAAAAATTCAGTAGGTAAGAGTGAGTTAGAGTGAGGGGTAGCGGGGGAATGGGGGAGGTTATTGTTGGTTCGATTCAAACGGGAAAAACGGCGTTATGTAGAGAACGCGGTATAGATTAACGTCTAACATAAAAATCATACGCAGTGACGGATCAAAAGGGCCTAAAAGTTACATCTTTCTTATTGTTAGTCCGATTCAAACGAAAAAAAACGGTATTATGTAGAGAACATAACGTCGAACATAAAAATCATGCGCAGAACGAAAGCCAGAAGGGCCTCAGCGTGTATCTTTATTGCTATTGGTCTGATTCAAACGGGAAAAACGGCATTATGTAGAGAACGCGGTATAGATTAACGTCAAACATAAAAATCATGCGCAGTGACGGACCAAAAGGGCCTAAAACTTATATCTTTGTTATTGTTAGTCCGATTTAAACGGAAAAAACGGCATTATGTTGATAACTCGGTATAGATTAACTTCGAACAGAAAAATCATGCGCAGAACGAAAGCCAGAAGGGCCTCAGCGTGTATCTTTATTGCTATTGGTTTGATTCAAACGGGAAAAACGGCATTATGTAGAGAACGCGGTATAGATTAACGTCGAACATAAAAATCATGTGCAGTGACTGACCAAAAGGGTCTAAAACTTATATCTTTGGTATTGTTAGTCCGATTCAAACGAGAAAAACGGCATTATGTAGAGAACGTGGTATAGATTAACGTCGAACATAAAAATCATGTGCAGAACGAAAATCCAGAAGGGCCTTAGTGTGTATCTTCAATGCTATTGGTCCGATTCAAACGGGAAAAACGGCGTTATGTAGAGAACGCGGTATAGATTAAGATTGAACATAAAAATCCTGCGCAATGACGGACCAAAAGGGCCTAAAACTTATATCTTTGGTATTGTTAGTCCGATTCAAACGGGAAAAACGGTATTATGCCGAGAACGCGGTATAGATTAACGTCGAACATAAAAATCATGCGCAGTGACGGACCAAAAGAGCCTTAAACTTATATCTTTGTTATTGTTAGTCCGATTCAAACGGGAAAAACGGTATGTAGAGAACGTGGTATAGATTAACGTCGAACATTAAAATCATGCGCAGTGACGGACCAAAAGGGCCTAAAACATATCTTTGTTATTGTTAGTCCGATTCGAACGGGAAAAACGGCATTATGTAGAAAACGTGGTATAGATAAACGTTGCATAGAAAAATTATGCGCAGAACGAAAAGCCAGAAGGGCCTTAACGTATTTCTTGGATATTATTGGTCCAATTCAAACGGGAAAAACGCCATTATGTAGAGAACGCGGTATAGATGAACGTTGAAGAGAAAAATCGACGTTTCGTTTGACGTTTTCGTTTGGCGTTTTCGTTTGACGTTTTTGTGCAATAAAGATACATAATGCCGTTTTTTCCGTTTGAATCGGACTAACGATACACGCTTGATTTTTCTGTTCAACGTTGAAAGATTTAATTCTCACCATTCCTCCTCACTCTGTCTCACTCTTACCTACTGAATTTGTACCTCTCACTCTTACACATTGAATTCCCTATGTGAGGCCGTATCAGCTTTGTCTATCTACTGTTGGTAATCCCTGTATGCTGTTTTTTTATAAAATTGTATACATTTGATATCGTGTTTTAATAATAAATAAATTTATAAACCATATGAGATATTTAAATAGAAAAATGAAGGAAAAGTGGTTTTTTCATTTCTTAACTTATATTTAGAAATTTCGACTATAAAATTGGGTGATTTTCCTATCCTTATCATTTCTAACTTTATTTTAATAATTTTTTTTTGGTCGTCTATAAATAGTATATAGTATTGAAGAGACATTAGAAATGCTATAAAATCGCCACTACCTGCTGCTCTTAAACATCCACAATTAGCTGTTATTTTTGGAAAAGCCAGTTTTTCTATTATATCTTCACAACTTTAGCATCGCCATCACAACTTTAGCATCGCCATCCGGCAGCAGTGTCTGGATAACACATACATTTTTATGTTCTCTTTTCTTTCCAGTTAAAAATACGAAGACAATCATTTTTTTTATATTTATTCACAGGACTATAATAAGTAGATCAAAAGATTCATCAGGATTTTCTATATAAAATACTTCATCATCAATGTTTTCAGAAGCTTTCCACACTCTTCCAATGTATCAAAATCAGATGTACCTACTTGTTCTTTGTTGCAATTTAGTTTAACAAAAAAATAAACTACTATAACTAACTTTATACCTATCTCACGCTACGACACTGATTTATTTAATTAAATTAATACCTAACTGGTTTGTTAGCCTTCCTAGTACACTTTTTTAGTATTGACGAGTTTATCGCTGATTCAAAGTATTTACCTAACTTTATTTTAACAATCGTTAGAATCCTACATTTTTGCGAATTTTTACACAGTTTTTATGATATCGACTTATATAGTTAAAATAAAATCGGTAAAACAGGTACTATCGTGACTTTATCTCGCGTTAACTAGGGAAAAATAAGAGTTAGAGTAATTTAAACCTTAAAACAACAATAGAGGGGAAAATACTTCTTTTTGATTGGTTTTTAGGTTAGTAAATTCCGTACTCGAAGAAGAATTAAAGACCATCCACGCCTTTTCACAAAAGACTTTTACACCAGAACAGTGGAAGGAGCAGCAAAAGTAACATAAACATGTTGAATAACGCACTTTCGAAATATCAAAATGTTAAAACTTCAAGTAAGCTTGAGATTTACTTAATTATAAATTTTATATATATATTTTTATTTTAGGTATAGAAATTATCGTGTCAGCTCCAGGAAAAGTTATTTTACACGGTGAACACTCGGTGGTACTCGGTGGTTTATGGAAAGCTAGCTTTAGCAGCAAGTCTAGGTTTAAGAACAAAAATAATTCTTTCGGAAATAGATGAACCCGATGCATTCGAAATCGTGTCTCAGGTGTTGAATCATAAATTTGATTTGCAGGTAAGCGAATTTTAGTTCATCCTTAAATTGTTCGCTTTGAAATATTTCGACAATGTTACAGTAAGATCAATGTTGTATGCAAAAATTGTTATTATATTTAAATGAATTTTGAAATTTTATGTATACAAATATTTCTATTAATTTCTATTAATTTCTATTAATTTCTATTAATTTCTATTAATTTCTATTAATTTCTATTAATTTCTATTAATTTCTATTAATTTCTATTAATTTCTATTAATTTCTATTAATTTCTATTAATTTCTATTAATTTCTATTAATTTCTATTAATTTCTATTAATTTCTATTAATTTCTATTAATTTCTATTAATTTCTATTAATTTCTATTAATTTCTATTAATTTCTATTAATTTCTATTAATTTCTATTAATTTCTATTAATTTCTATTAATTTCTATTAATTTCTATTAATTTCTATTAATTTCTATTAATTTCTATTAATTTCTATTAATTTCTATTAATTTCTATTAATTTCTATTAATTTCTATTAATTTCTATTAATTTCTATTAATTTCTATTAATTTCTATTAATTTCTATTAATTTCTATTAATTTCTATTAATTTCTATTAATTTCTATTAATTTCTATTAATTTCTATTAATTTCTATTAATTTCTATTAATTTCTATTAATTTCTATTAATTTCTATTAATTTCTATTAATTTCTATTAATTTCTATTAATTTCTATTAATTTCTATTAATTTCTATTAATTTCTATTAATTTCTATTAATTTCTATTAATTTCTATTAATTTCTATTAATTTCTATTAATTTCTATTAATTTCTATTAATTTCTATTAATTTCTATTAATTTCTATTAATTTCTATTAATTTCTATTAATTTCTATTAATTTCTATTAATTTCTATTAATTTCTATTAATTTCTATTAATTTCTATTAATTTCTATTAATTTCTATTAATTTCTATTAATTTCTATTAATTTCTATTAATTTCTATTAATTTCTATTAATTTCTATTAATTTCTATTAATTTCTATTAATTTCTATTAATTTCTATTAATTTCTATTAATTTCTATTAATTTCTATTAATTTCTATTAATTTCTATTAATTTCTATTAATTTCTATTAATTTCTATTAATTTCTATTAATTTCTATTAATTTCTATTAATTTCTATTAATTTCTATTAATTTCTATTAATTTCTATTAATTTCTATTAATTTCTATTAATTTCTATTAATTTCTATTAATTTCTATTAATTTCTATTAATTTCTATTAATTTCTATTAATTTCTATTAATTTCTATTAATTTCTATTAATTTCTATTAATTTCTATTAATTTCTATTAATTTCTATTAATTTCTATTAATTTCTATTAATTTCTATTAATTTCTATTAATTTCTATTAATTTCTATTAATTTCTATTAATTTCTATTAATTTCTATTAATTTCTATTAATTTAATTTCCATTAATTTCTACTAATTTCTATCAATTTCTTTCAATTGCTACTAATTTCTATCAATTTTTTTCAATTGCTACTAATTTCTATCAATTTCTAATAGTTTCTAACAATTTCTATTAATTTCCATTAATTTCCATTAATTCCCATTAATTTCCATTAATTTCCATTAATTTCCATTAATTTCCATTAATTTCCATTAATTTCCATTAATTTCCATTAATTTCCATTAATTTCCATTAATTTCCATTAATTTCCATTAATTTCCATTAATTTCCATTAATTTCCATTAATTTCCATTAATTTCCATTAATTTCCATTAATTTCCATTAATTCCCATTAATTTCCATTAATTTCCATTAATTTCCATTAATTTCCATTAATTTCCATTAATTTCCATTAATTTCCATTAATTTCCATTAATTTCCATTAATTTCCATTAATTTCCATTAATTTCCATTAATTTCCATTAATTTCCATTAATTTCCATTAATTTCCATTAATTTCCATTAATTTTCATTAATTTCCATTAATTTCCATTAATTTCCATTAATTTCTATTAATTTCTATTAATTTCCATTAATTTCCATTAATTTCCTTTAATTTCCATTAATTTCTATTAATTTCTATTAATTTCTTTCAATTTATATCAATGTCTATTAATTTCCATTAATTTCCATTAATTTCCATTAATTTTCATTAATTGCCATTAATTTCCATTAATTTCCATTAATTTCTATTAATTTCTATTAATTTCTATTAATTTCTATTAATTTCCATTAATTTCCATTAATTTCTATTAATTTCTATTAATTTCTTTCAATTTATATCAATGTCTATTAATTTCCATTAATTTCTATTAATTCCTATCAATTTCCATCAAAATATATGTATATATTTTTAGGAAATTAAATCGGTTCTGCTCGAACCTCTTCCACTGCTTGTAGATAAAAAGGATTTTAATTGGGAATATCCGAATCTTCTAAATCACGAAGAATTAGTGCGCAAAATCGATTGTTTTCTAAATGCTTCGAATTCGAGCTTATCTAATATACACCAAGTAATGTCTGCTAAAGCTATACTCTATCTTTGTGCCGGTATTATTGGATCCACTTCTACAGATTTAAAACCTATAGAAATTAGAATCATCACTGGTTTAACTACAGGTAAGAATTTAAAGGTACTATTGCACAAAGAACATTTTTTAAGGTTTGTTCCAATGAATAACCTGTTTAATCGAATCTGCAGAGATTATTTTATGATTTTATCGATTTAAAATCATAAATAAATGTATACAGATGTAATTGCGCAAATATACATATCAGTAGAACATTTTTAAAGTTTGTTCCAATGAATAACTTTTGTTTAATCGAATCTGCAGAGATTATTTTACGATTTTATCGATTTAAAATCATAAATAAATGTATACAGATATAATTGCGCAAATGTGCATATCAATGGAACATTTTTAAAGTTTGTTCCAATGAATAACTTTTTTTAGTCGAATCTGCAGAGATTATTTTACGATTTTATTAAAATCATAAATAAATGTATACAGATATAATTGCGCAAATGTGCGTATCAATGGAACATTTTTAAAGTTTGTTCCAACGAATAACTTTTGTTTAATCGAATCTGCAGAGATTATTTTACGATTTTTATCGATTTAAAATCATAAATAAATGTATACAGATATAATTGCGCAAATATGCATATCAGTAGAACATTTTTTAACGTTTGTTCCAATGAATAATTTTTTTAGTCGAATCTGCAGAGATTATTTAACGATTTATCGATTTAAAATCATAAATAAATGTATACAGATATAATTGCGCAAATGTGCGTATCAATGGAACATATTTAAAGTTTGTTCCAACGAATAACTTTTGTTTAATCGAATCTGCAGAGATTATTTTACGATTTTTATCGATTTAAAATCATTAATAAACGTTTACAGAAATAATTGCGCAAATGTGCATATCAATGGAACATTTTTAAAGTTTGTTCTAACGAATAACTTTTATTTAATCGAATCTGCAGAGATTATTTTACGATTTTATCGATTTAAAATCATAAATAAATGTATACAGGTGTGTGTGTGTGTGCGCGCGCGCGTATGTGTGCGTGTGCGTGTTTTGTGCGCGCGTGTGTGCGTGTGTTTCTGTGCGCTCGCGTGTGTTTCTGTGCGCGCGTGTGTGTGTGTGTGCGTGTTTGTGTTCGCCTATGTTCGTCTGTGTTCGTTTATCTTCGTCTGTGTTCGTCTATGTGCAATATGCATATCAATAGAACATTTTTAAAGTTTGTTCCAACGAATAACTTTTGTTTAATCGAATCTGCAGAGATTATTTTACGATTTTATCGATTTAAAATCATAAATAAATGTATACAGGTGTGTGTGTGTGTGTGTGTGTGTGTGTGTGTGTGTGTGTGTGTGTGTGTGTGTGTGTGTGTGTGTGTGTGTGTGTGTGTGTGTGTGTGTGTGTGTGTGTGTGTGTGCGTATGTGTGCGTGTGCGCGCGCGTGTGTTTTGTGCGCGCGTGTGTGCGTGTTTCTGTGCGTGCGCGCGCGCGCGTGTGTGTGGGTGTGTGCGTCTGTGTGTTTGCGTGCGCGCGTGTGTGTGCGTGTTTGTTCGTCTGTGTTCGCCTATCTTCGTCTATGTTCGTCTGTGTTCGTTTATTTTCGTCTGTGTTCGTTTTTTCGTCTGTGTTCGTTTATCTTCGTCTGTGTTCGTCTATGCTCGTCTATGTGAAATATGCATATCAATAGAACATTTTTAAAGTTTGTTCCAACGAATAATTTTTGTTTAATCGAATCTGCAGAGATTATTTTACGATTTTATCGATTTAAAATCATAAATAAATGTATACAGGTGTGTGTGTGTGCGTATGTGTGCGTGTGCGCGCGCTTGTGTTTTGTGCGTGCGTGTGTGCGTGTTTCTGTGCGTGCGCGCGTGTGTGTGGGTGTGTGCGTGTTTGTTCGTCTGTGTTCGCCTATCTTCGTCTATGTTCGTCTGTGTTCGTTTATCTTCGTCTGTGTTCGTCTATGCTCGTCTATGTGCAATATGCATATCAATAGAACATTTTTAAAGTTTGTTCCAACGAATAACTTTTGTTTAATCGAATCTGCAGAGATTATTTTACGATTTTATCGATTTAAAATCATAAATAAATGTATACAGGTGTGCGTGCGTGTGTGTGTGTGTGTGTGTGTGTGTGTGTGTGTGTGTGTGTGTGTGTGTGTGTGTGTGTGTGTGTGTGTGTGTGTGTGCGAGGACGTGTGCGCTTGTGTGCGTGCGCGCTTGTGTGCGTGTGTTTCTGTGCGTGCGCGCGCGCGTGTGTGCGTCTGTGTGCGCGCGCGCGTGTGTGTGCGTGTTTGTGTTCTTCTGTGTTCGCCTATGTTCGTCTATCTTCGTCTGCGTTCGTCTATGTTCGTCTATCTTCGTCTGCGTTCGTCTATGTTCGTCTGTGTTCGTCTATCTTCGTCTGTGTTCGTCTATGTTCGGTTATCTTCGTCTGTCTTCGTTTGTGTTCGTCTATACTCGTCTATGTGCAATATGCATATCAATAGAACATTTATAAAGTTTGTTCCAACGAATAACTTTTGTTTAATCGAATCTGCAGAGATTATTTCACGATTTTATCGATTTAAAATCATAAATAAATGTATACAGATTTAATTGCCCGAATTTGCGAAGCGGAATCGGCTCTTAAAATATTGACAGACAAACAAATAATGAAATAACAAATTTTGTTTCTTTTTAGGCGCGGGAATGGGCAGTTCCGCGTCGTTTTCGGTTTGCGTAGCGGCAGCTTTAGTGCAATACGTAAAAAGTCAAAGATCCGTAAACAGTTTTTCCAAACATTCATTCAAACCATCCCACTGGAACATCGATTTGGATTTTTTCAACGCGAAAGAATTAGATTTGATTTGTCATTGGTCCTTTTGCGCCGAAAAAATTATACATGGAACTCCGTCTGGTGAGTTGAAAGGATTTTTATTCGCTCTAATCGATACAGCTGTTTCTTGTTCTTAAGATGACTGTCTAGTTCTTTTCCTACGCCAGTTGCAGTGATAGCTAAGGGAGTAGTTGTTCTCAGAATAGAAAAAGGGCGTTCTATAGTCGATTTTTATTTTAAATTTCTTCTTCTTTTTAGGTTTGGATAATACAACTTGCACGTACGGTTCTATAGTGGAATTTAGAAAAGGTGCGCCGCCTGTACCATTAAGCACGTCCCGTTCTCTTAATCTTCTTCTTATTAATTCGCGAGTGCCTAGAGAGACGAAGAAATTGGTGGCGATAGCGGCTTCGTATAATAAAAAGTTTCCAGATGTATTTAATTGTATTCTCGATGCCATGGAGGGTGTTTCTGTTAATGCTTTGAGGAATTATAAGGATCTGTCACGAATAACAGGTATTTAAATGGCTGTATGTTTATTTGTTTGAACAATTTTTTTACATTTTGTTAAATTTCTCGAATACGGACCATTTTAGGAAAATTTTATATGAGACAAAAATTATAGAGAATATTATAAGAAATAACTTTTATTTGAAAAAATTTCAAAAAAAAAATTAACCAAATGACAAAAAAAATTTAACAAGACAAAAAAAATGACAAAAAAAAATTGACAAGACAAAAAAATATGAAAAAAAAAAATTGGCAAAATGACAAAAAATATAAAAAATTTTGAAAGGACAAAAATGACAAAAAAAAATTGACAAGACAAAAAATGAAACAAAATTAAAAAAAATTGACAAGACAAAAAAAATGAAACAAAGTTAAAAAAAAATGACAAAAAAAAATTGAACAAGACAAATGTAATATGACAAAAAGATAATTTAAAAAAAATTGACAAAGTTTTGACAAAAAATTTAACAAGACAAAAAAATATGACAAAAAAAATTGACAAGAAAAAAAATATCAAAAAAAATTTGACAAAATGACAAAAAAAATTGACAAGATAAAAAAAATTTATAAAAAATTTTGACAAGACAAAAAAATGAAAAAAAAAAATTTGACAAGAGAAAAAAATTTATAAAAAATTTTGACAAGACAAAAAAATTACAAAAAAAAAATTTGACAAGACAAAAAAATACGAAAAAAAATTGACAAAACGACAAAAAAAATTGACAAGACATAAAAATTACAAAAAAAATTGACAAAAAAATTGACAAGACTAAAAAATATTACAAAAAAATTGACAAGACTAAAAAATATGACAAAAAAAATTTATAAAAAATTTTGAAAAGACAAAAATGACAAAAAAAAATTGACAAAATGACAAAAAAAATTGACAAAATGACAAAAAAATTTTGACAAGACAAAAAAAAAATAAAAAATGACAAAAAAAATTCAACAAGACAAATATAATATGACAAAAAGAAAATTTAAAAAAAATTGACAAAAAAGTTTTGACAAAAAATTTAATAAGACAAAAAAAATGACAAAAAAAAATTTACAAGAAAAAAATATCAAAAAAAATTGACAAAATGACAAAAAAAATTTTGACAAGACAAAAAAATTACAAAAAAAAATTTGACAAGACCAAAAAATATGAAAAAAAATTGACAAAACGACAAAAAAAAATTGACAAGACATAAAAATTACAAAAAAATTGACAAGACTAAAAAATATGACAAAAAAAATTTATAAAAAATTTTGAAAAGACAAAAATTACAAAAAAAAAATTGACAAAATGACAAAAAAATTTTGACAAGACAAAAAAAAAATAAAAAATGACAAAAAAAATTCAACAAGACAAATGTAATATGACAAAAAGAAAATTTAAAAAAATTGACAAAAAAAGTTTTGACATAAAATTTAACAAGACAAAAAAAATGACAAAAAAAAAATTACAAGAAAAAAAATATCAAAAAAAATTGACAAAATGACAAAAAAATTTATAAAAAATTTTGACAAGACAAAAAAATTACAAAAAAAAAATTTGACAAGACCAAAAAATATGAAAAAAAATTGACAAAACGACAAAAAAAAATTGACAAGACATAAAAATTACAAAAAAATTGACAAGACTAAAAAATATGACAAAAAAAATTTATAAAAAATTTTGAAAAGACAAAAATGACAAAAAAAAATTGACAATGACAAAAAAAATTTGACAAGAGAAAAAAAAATAAAAAATGACAAAAAAAATTCAACAAGACAAATGTAATATGACAAAAGAAAATTAAAAAAAAATTGACAAAAAAAGTTTTGACAAAAAATTTAACAAGACAAAAAAAAATATGACAAAAAATTGAAAAGACAAAAGAATTTAAAAAAAATGACAAAAGACAAAAACAAATTTGACAAGACAAAAAAAATATGACAAAAAAAAAATTATAAAAAATTTTGACAATGCAAAAATGACAAAAAAAATTTGACAAGACAAACAAATGGAACGAATTTAAAAAAAATTGACAAGACAAAAAATGAAAAAAATTGACCAAAAAAATTACAAAAAAAATTCAAAAAAAATTGACAGAAAATTTTGACAAAAAAATTTTTTACTATCCTATTCCATAAAATATAAAAACTACCCCTAAAATGTTCAGACTGCGCAAAATATATAAATATTGCGATCTCAAAAATTGTGAACATTTTGTTTGTTATCAAAAAAAAATTTGACAAAAAAATTAAAAAAAAATTGATAAAAACAAATTTTAGAAAAAATTATAAAAAAATTTTGAACTAAAAAAATTTTGGCCAAAAAATGTGTCCCTTTGTTTATTTGTTAAAGAAATATTAGTTTTTGGTAAATAACTCGTTTTTGAGTTTTCTTTAGAATTCGAAATTTACACATTTTCTCAAATATCTCGAATACGGTCCATTTTAGGAAAATTTTGTATAGGACAAAAATTATAGAAAATAATATTAGAAATAACTTTTATTTGAAGAATTTTCTTCTTCAAACGTAACTAACAGATATATTTCATAAAATATAAAAATCACTCCCCATAAAGTACCTCCCAGATGTTCCGACTCTGCCCAAAATATAATCAGTGCACCGCAAGCCAGAATAAAGCTTAAGTTTAAAATTTGGTGTGTTTTTCTCTTTATACGTTTTTGAATTTTCTTCAAAATTCGAAATTTACACATTTTGTTAAATTTCTCGAATACGGTCCATTTTAGGAAAATTTTGTATGATACAAAAATTATAGAGAATAATATTAGAAGTAACTTTTATTTGAAGAATTTTCTTCTCCAAATGTAAATAACAGATATATTCTTTAAAATATAAAAACGACTTCCTATAAAGTACCCTTTTCCAAACATAAATAATAGATATTTATTATATTCCATATTATATTTTAGGATACGCTGTTAAAATTTGACCGTCTAATTTCGGGACACCCTGTATTCCTTTGTAATATTATATTATTGCTTCATGTTGTTTTTGTTGATTTCATTTTGGTAAAATTCATTTTTTTGTTTATTTATTAGCTTTTGAAGATAATTTCGATATGATTAATATTCTTTATCTAGTTCTATGCTATAATTTTTTATTAGGTTTCGTTTTAATTTATCTCTGTTTTATAGATGTTATTAATCCATTAGTTATCCAATTTTTTCAAAATATTTACTGATTTTAAAGTCGCAAGCTGATAAAGTCAAATTAGGAGTTTCTAGAAATGTCACACTGCCATCTTTAAATATTCACTGTCTTAAAACTAATGAAGAAAAACATTTCATACTTACAGAAACATTTAAAAAACTGTTGTTAAAATATTTGTTTGAGAACAGCATTCCAAAATGTTTACTGATTTTAAAGTGGCAATCTGATAAAGTCAAATTATGCGTTTTTAGAAATGAGACATTGCTATCTTTAAATATTCACTATCTTAAAACTAATAAAGAAAAACATTTCATACTTACAGAAACATTTAAAAAACTGTTGTTAAAATATTTGTTTGAGAACAGCATTCCAAACTGTTTACTGATTTTAAAGTGGCGATCTGATAAAGTCAAATTATGCGTTTTTAGAAATGTGACATTGCTATCTTTAAATATTCACTGTCTTAAAACTAATAAAGAAAAACATTTCATACTTACAGAAACATTTAGAAAACTGTTGTTAAAATATTTGTTTGAGAACAGCATTTTAAAATGTTTATTGATTTTAAAGTTGCGATCTGATAAAGTCAAATTATGCGTTTTTAGAAATGAGACATT